CCAGCCACACCAACACATCGTCCCTCTCGCTGACCACAGCCACACCAACACATCGTCCCTCTCGCTGACCGGTCACACTAACACATCGTCCCTCTCGCTGACCACAGCCACACTAACACACACTAACTTCTTGCTGACCAGACAGTATCTATAATACACTGTCCCTCTTGCTGGCCAGACAGTGTAACAAATTGTCCTTCTTTCTGACCAGACAGTACCTGTAACACATCATCCCTCTTTCAATAAAAAGATTTATTTTACTACTTAGATCCTGTCTGCTGTTTGTCTCTGGTGTGTGAGAGTCTGAGGTTGTATAATTTGGGGTGTCCGTTTGAAATAATAATAGCAATACATTTTATCGTATATAGTGCCTTTAAAAGAAGCTTCTCAAAGTGCTTTACAGGCAAAGTAAAAAAATGAAAACAAAAGAAAACAGTTAACAGTTAAGACAGGAGATGCATGATAATCACGAGGGATTCGCAATGCCATAGGAGATGCAGGGAGCAGCCAGAGATGAGTTAAATAGCCTTTCTGCAGAGCAGGGTCTGAAAGAGCTCAGAAAGGGTGGCTCTCTGATGTCTTGGGGTCTGTATGCTGTCAAGAGGGTCTGTGGCTCAGGGGCTCATGGTTTCAGTCAGCAGGCTGAGGACGGACAGGGAACCTGCAGGGAGACTTTGTCACGATCGGCTCGTGGACAGCACTGTGCTTGTCCAGCTGGGATAGCGAAGTGTCCACACTCAGCGGGGGCTGACCAGGGCCCAGTAATGAAAACTAGTGTCCAGACAAAAAGCCCAGGTGATCAGCCTGTAGTGTTGGGAAATGAAGGGGGGAACCTTCTCCCCATCAGAGAGCCAGTACCTATTTCACAGTGTTGTGGCTGCTCGAGCTGCTGCCTCATGGCTCCTGTGTCCTGGGTTCGATTCTGTCTGTGTTGTACAGCATGCGTGCTTCATGAGCGCTCTCTTGCTGCACCCAAAGCAGATTCCACAATGTTTTATTGTGTGGCTGTGAGGAATAAGGGTATCTGACCAAGGTAAGAAACAGCGAAAAGAAACAGACCCTGACGAAGTACAGGCTCAGTGACCACAACCTGGCCATAGAAACTGGGCGACACAGGCAGACCTGGCTGCCCAGAGATGACAGGATGTGCTCCCACTGCCAGCGGGGAGAAATAGAGACAGAGGTGCACTTCCTACTGCACTGTGACAGATACTCTGGGATTAGAGAAACATTCTTCCCGAAATTCAGTTCCCACACCTGCCAGAGTCACAACGGGTCCCAATCCTACTGGGAGAGGGAGGAGGGAACTCAGTTGAACTGGCAGCCCAGTATGTGATCTCCTGTCCCAGCCTGAGGAACACTGAGTCTGTCTCTCAATAATGCTCCACACGTTTGTACAGAAATGTACTGTGATGTGTCTGTATTGTAAATGTCTTTAGACGTTGTGTTAATTGTATGTGCTTTGGCAACACTATAATTCAGTGCTCATGCCGATAAAGCTTGTTGAATTGAACCGAGCTGAATCAGGGTGCGCTGCACCCTCCAGCCAGCAGGGGGCACCGTGCTCTGCGGCGGCGGCCAGCCAGGCGGTCGTGTCCCTGCAGGACAGAGCAGTAAAGATGGAGCCGGGGATCACCTTCATCCCGCAGCTGGCGGAGGCGCTGGCGCAGCAGAGTCACTCTCACTCGAGCTCCGTAGCGGGAGCCGAGGCCCATAAAAACACACAAAACACCAATATTGCCCAGAGCCGAGGTGAGTTCAGAGAGAACGTGAAAGTGGAGGAAATAAAGCTTTGATCAGTGGCGGCCCCACGGCCGCGGACCAGGCCGCCCGTGGGAGTGGGTGGAGAGACTCGCAGGGGAGTGTGGAGTCTTCTCCCTCGGGCGCCGCGGTTTCTCCACAGACACTGCAGAGGCCAGCCGGTCCCGTTTCTCCCCGAGCCCTGCGTAGATTGAGTGGGTCCGATTTCTCTTCATTTTTTCTTTAAAATGGAAAGAAATGTTTGTTGTTGCTGCTGGTGCTGCTGTTGTCTGTCGCGCAAACCCACACAATCTGGACGCGGGGCTGCGGTCCGGGGGGGGTCGGTTCAGTGTCTGTGGGTGAGAAGTGCCCACGGCCTTCCTGTCATCCCCTGCAGGCGGTACCAGGTCAACATAACGACGTTAAAAACTTCACCGAAGCCAGTCGTACGCGCCCTCGACAGTATCACCTCAGGACGGGGTCAGGTGACCCAGCGGGTCGGTAACTGGTGGGGGCGGCGCTGGGCTGGGGTCCGGTTCGGTTCCGGACTCGGCTGGATCCGGCCCTGCCGGGGGCACACTGACCGGCGCGGTGCGACAAAAGTTTGAGCTCTGGGGGAGGGGGAAGAAAAGACCAGTTTTCGCTAGTTCGTCTGTTCTCCTGACTCCAGGAAGGTGCCGGCAGCCCGGTGTTGAAGTTTTGAAGTCCTCGCACGAGGTGTTCATGAGGCGGTTTTTGGGGTGCCTGCCTAAATCCCAGAGCTTCACTGGGGTGCCCCGGGTCTCCCCCTGAGCTCCGTGAAGAAATGCCAACGCATTGATCACGGTTCCGAATGAGGGTTCCCGGCGCTGCTGCTCGTGGGTCGGAACCGAGCCCCCGTCCGCAGGCAGAAGGAAGTAGCTGGTGTGCGATCACGCGTTTGTGTTCTCCGAGTGACTGTCCGAACTGGACCGTCGATGCCAGCAGCACACTTGGAGCCTAAGGGGGCAGGGCGGCCCTCCGCCCGAGCCCAGAGCCCCGGCTGGGTGTGAAGCCCGCCCGCCCGGGGGAAGACGTCTCCTCCGCAGTCTTGTTGGTCACGAGGGGTGTGTGCAGGCTGTGAGCGGTGAGGGGCAGCGTGTGGGCCTCCCTCGCGCCCTGGCCGGCTGGGCGCAGGCTCTCGGGTAACGCTTCCCGCGGGTTCTCTTCGGCTCGTCCCCGAGCTCTTCGAGAGACTCCGCTGGGCCAGGAGGGCTGGGGGTTCGGGGCTGGTGGCCTGTCCAGGGGGAGTGTGCATGCTGCTCCACCCAGGGGGGCCCAGGCCTGCTCCTGGGAGGTGACATTCCCACTCTGCTCTCGGTGACATAAACCAGCTGCTTACTGGTTTAACTGGGCCAGGGCCACAGCTTCTCCGAGCTCTGCGGGTGCTGTGGCTTTAATCAGCCCTTGGAACCCTGCAGGCGCAGCGCAGCGCCCCCTCCTGGACCAGTGTGATAGAGCCAGCCTGACTCCTGACATACACACACACCGCAGGCGCAGCGCAGCGCCCCCTCCTGGACCAGGACTGGACGCCCCTGTGTTTCTTTTTCAAACAGACCTTGAGACGCCGAATGGGCTGGAGCTCGTCCCCATGTGCATCTGATTTAGCTGAGTTAGTTTTGCATTTGAATTTTCCAAACATCGTGAATCAAATACAATAATAGTAAATGTTCTTCACCCCACTTATCAGTGGCCCCTCCCGATTCCCCCTCGGGGTCTCCAGGCACGGAGCCACACAGGACAGCTCCACATCCGTGTCTGGGAAGGCCAGGGAGAGGAGAGCAGAGGGTCCCGGCATGCCATTTTTGCCTCCCGAGTTTTCGATGTTTAACATGCGGAGACACAGGTAGTATTTCAAACTAAGTTCATGTAGCTCCCAGACTGTAGGTATAGGAGTTACGACAGTTTCCACTGATACTGCATCGCGTCCATCCTCGGATCGTGCGGTTCTGTTTTGTTTTTGACCTGACTGCCGGTAGTTTCGATGAACACTGGAATCTGATACTTCCGTTAGGTTGCGCTTCGTCATTCTCCAGAACATGACAAAGTAAGACAGGGCCGTTCTGCTCATTGAGCCCGTCTGTCGGACGGCCTCGCAGTTCTTACTTGTGCTAAGGTGTCCTCAGTTTCCTCGCTTCTTGTCAGGCGCCTGCTGTTTGTCACCCTTTATCTTTCCATGACACCTCCACTGTCGTGCAGCAGGACGGCACCGCGCTGGGGCCTGGGCTCGGTTCAGTTTGGATGCTCTTCTCATGGACGAGAGGTGACAGGGCCTGAGGCAGAGTCTCGGGTCAAGCAGGCTTTTGTTTACACTGTTGGCACATTTCAGCAGTCACCCTGTGTGGAGGCGCTCTGCATCTAACATCTGATGTGATGTTAATGAGGACCAGCTGACATGGAGCCATTTAGATCTGACTGGTAATTGTGACAGATTAGAAACTAGAACATAGGGACATGAGAAAGGATAGAAATGAGGTTAAAGTTTGGCCCATTTAGTAGTTAATAATTAATCCCATTATCTCATCCAGCTGATTTGTGCAAGAAGCAAGGGTATCAGCGTCAACAACATGGCTGGGCAGCTTGTTCCATGCTTCCACAACTCTGTATAAAGAAATGCCTCCTGTTCTCAGTTTTTTAAGCACTTCTACATATTGTCTTCTTGGGCATTCTGGTTCATGTTTCAGTGTTCATTCCCCTGAATAGACTTTTACAGTGCCTTTGAGGATTTTGAATATAGTCTTCTCTCTGCAAGCTGAGATCAGGTTTCTGAAGACTGATCAGTGTGAATTAAAGGTTGTTCACCAAACTAAGCAGCATTAATTATAAAGTTTTGCAAAGGTAGTGGTGGCTTTGAGGCAGTTGCTGATGTTCAGAACACACACATGGCCTAACACCTGATTGAGATGTTTAAGACTTCTGAACAGCAGTCTAAGAAAATAGGAGAAAAAAACAACAGCTGTGTGACACTGCTGAAGAGGCTCCACAGTTGACAAGTTATTTCAGGTGTGGCACAGCATTTTGGCTCATTGACGCCACCTTGTGGATTGCGATGTAATTAGTTGTGCCTCTCGTGCTGCTTGACTGGTCTCGGTGCCTTTTCCTCCCTGTCGCCATGCTGTACCCCTTAATCCAGGGGTTGTTACCTGGGGGGTCCTAGAAATGAAAGGGGAGCTTCGCCCCGCTGCAGGCTGTTGTGCTGAGCTCGTCCAGTGCTCGTGCTGCAGTTTCCTGGGCTTCTCTTTCGGTTTGTGTTTGCCAGGGACTTCTGAAAGGTCAGAAGAGGCAGAGTCTCTGTGCGACACGGTCACACTTGAACAACAAAACACGTTCGGCTTCCGTGTCTTTGAAGGACAGCCTTGTGGGCTGACCGAGTCACAAAGCCAGATGTTTTCATGGAATCTGAAGTATTCAAAATCCCATCCATATATTTTGATCCATAAATTGCCCACTGTGCACTGTATTTTTCTGTTTGTGCTCAATGCCACACATCACCTTTAGCAGAAACATTTGTGATTGTTGCTTCTTACTGTTAAGTTTTTGGACGTTCAAATATCGGAGCAGTTTGGTCCTAAACTCTTCTGAATTTCGTGTAATATCCCATGTGAACTGGAGCATCGCTCTGACTGCCGTGGGCCTTCAGGGGGAGATGCAGGCACTGTCGTCTCCACAGTGACTGCTCAGTCAGAGCCGTCCATGGGTCTCCCAGTTGCTGGGAATCAGTTCTCAGACGGTAACAGCAGATGGCGCTGTTTGTTACTTTGCTGAAAAGACGGGTTAGGCTGTGAACAGCTTACTCGGTGCCTCCACTGAGAAACCTTTCGTGTCCGGATGGTGTTTTTCAGCCTTGATGCGTGATCTTGACTCTGCCTGCGTGTGTTGAGATGTTTCTGTGTGTTGGGGGTTCGTACTAATGTCAAGGGTGCAAGGCTGAGTGTGCTGAGGTTGAGAGTGTGTGGGTGTGTTCTGGGTAAAGTGGTAGGAGTATGCAGATGCAGATGTTGGTTATAATTTAGTATTGTATAAAGAAATGAAGAATTTATGTGCAAAAGTAGTTTTTGTTTCCCAACACAGTGTTGCAAAGACTGATGGGAATATGAGCAGCAGAAACTGCAGTGATAATATCATAATGTGTCATGCTTTGAAGTGTTATTTGAATGTCTACGGGCTGAGACAAATCCAAAAGTATACAACTTCAGGAAAACAGATTTTGTAGGAATGAGACAGTTTAAAGACAAGAAGAACAGGACATAAATGACATCAGTGGGAAATGGACAGGAACATTGTAAACAGGGTCTGCCTGATGTACAGAAAACAATTAGCACAAAAACAGAAGCTAAAAACCAGTATCCTGAATGTTGCAACAAATTGATTAAGAAGATACAAGGGAAAAGAAAGCACAGAGCAGTCAAAGACAAGACGTACAATGTACTGCAAGCACAGGTTAAATGGATCTCAGACAGATCAGGGAGATATTGAAAGAAATTATGCTGTGGAGGCTATAAAAAGTAAAGTTTGTATAAAAAAGTAAATAATAAGTTCTGCACCAAAATCACCATCAAGGGTGGAGTAAATGTATCCAGGAGAAGAGGCCCCACTGTAGACAGTGCAGGAGAAATGGCTGCTGTTCTCCCTGCGTATTTCACTCAGGTGTCACTAAGGAGGAAGTGAACTGCGGGAGTCAGGGAGTGGAAGGATAAAGAGTATTAAACACTATCAGCACAGAAGAGGCAGAAGAGTTTCCAGTACAACAGGCACTCAGGATGAATAAATCCCCAGGGCCTGATACTGTCTCAGCAGCTGGGCTCAAAGAAATGAGAGATGTTATTCAGAAGCCATTAACACACTCCTGCCAGTTCTTGAGATGGGGACTAGAGAATTGCTCATGCAGTGCTCACCCATACCAAGCCTGAGAAAACAGCCGAGTAATTACAGACCAATTAGTAAGTCTGACATGTTACATGCAAGGTAATGTGAGCACGCATGAGAGCTAAACTAGACGATCACCTTTCTTGAAATAATATCCTTGGAAATAGTCACCATGGATTTAGGAATTTAGAAAAGGTCGGTCTAGCCTTTTCTATCTGTTAGAGGTCTTCAATGAGCAGCAGCAGTAATGGGCACAAGTAGGACATGCGATGGTGTTTGTGGATTTCTGGAATCATAACATGATGACTGCAATTGTACATGATATTCTAAATGAGGCCTTACTGGGTTATACAGGGTTATACAGTCTTGGCAGAACGTCTCTTGCTTTAACATCCTTGAGTTTAAATATCCTGGCATTTTTTTGCTTCACCATTTCATCTTGGCGAAGCAGGGTAAGCGATGTGTCAACATAAACACCCAGATCTTTTTCATAAGTGTCCTCTTTTAGATCAGTGTTTCCCATTTTGTGTTGATAATTTGCGTTTCTGCAACCCACATGCAAATTTCTGTCTACAATGCACCTGTCCACAGTATGCTTACTCTTCCAGCTGTTTGCCCAGTGTTGAATTCTTTACATTTGCGGCTTCAGTGGGGCTCACCGATCCTCTTAATTCAGTACCATCTGCAAACTATACATATTTTCACTGTCCTGGACTGTAGGTCATTGATATAAATTAGGAAGAGTAGAGGTCCTAGTACAGACCCCTGTGGCACTTCGATTCAGTTCTGTTAGTTTCAGAATACTTTATTGCTCCCCAGTGGGATGTAGTGGGATGCTTGACTCATTTTATCACCCTAATTATCAGTGAGCTCCTGCCCTCCTTTCTACCCTCTGCTTTCTGTTAACTAGTTTTCAATGCAAGCACACACATTTCCCCAAATGCCTACTGGCTGTAGTTTGAACATGAGTCTTTTTATGAGGAACTTTATCAGAAGCCTTCTGAATAGACCATACCATACACTTTGTGTCCATTGCTGCTAATGTTTGTCCAAAGTTGTTTGTTTGTTTGGTAATGTTTGTTCAAAGGACACTGAACAGAGTTTGTCCTTTGAACAAACATTAGCAGCAATGGACACAAAGTGCATGACACAGTATATTTAGACATTCAGAAGTTTTCTGATAAAGTTCCTCATAAAAAAGATTAATTTTTTTGCTTATCTATCTAAACACGTTGGTTGAGCAGGTCCTGTCCTTTCTAAATCCACGGTGACTGTTCATGAGATTTTATTTTGGTGTAGATGTTCTTCGGTTATTCAGGTTAATACTGGGCGTTAGTTTATGATGTTTGTGATGTGCATGGCCAGTATTTTCCATTTTGTTTTAGGTTCTGTTTAAATGAAACCAATGCATTAAGAATAAATAGTCTATGTTGCTTGCATAGGTTTTCCTGAGAGGTGTTGTGTGTTTGATATTAATACGGTACCTTTCCTTTCCTTGCATTGCTTTACATACAGCTTATTGCTTTAATTTGCAAGCTCTCTGGTCAGTTTGAATGTGTGCAATACTGTGGGCCTCAGAGGGCAGAGTGACAGTGTGTGCAGCAAGAGCTGCGCTGAGACCCAGCTCTGCCTACCAGAGGTTTCAGCACCAAGACTTACTTTGTCTTTTGTAACAGGCAGTTTCTTGCCATGTCTGGCACGTTCTGAACTGCGCGTCCCCTATTTTCTGCAGCCTCAGTCATGCTGTGTGCACTGTAATCTATGGAAATGTGTCCTTGTGGATGTTTGCCTGCACCTGCAGATCAAGAGCAAACGTTTGCCTTTTTTATTACAGTGAAAAGTTCACTGCCATCAGACTCACTCATACCTGCAAAAATGCTCTTTTCAGCACTTTGACATTTTGCGGTCTTTGTCTAAGTGTGCAGATAGATACTTTATTATCCACTGCTGTGGAAATGCGTCTTTGGCTTCTCTCACTGAAGTACAAAACGCACAACCAAAACATAAGAGTCACATAAGATCACATGAAATCACAACAGCAGTGTGTGATACATAAATAGATGGGTAAATAAATAGGTAGAGGGAGGAATATGTTTACGTTCCTTCATTGAGTAGTTTTCAGCTGAGCTGAGGTTTGTGGTGAGATTTCTGACCTTGTGTGTTCCTGATTTCAATGAGGGAAATTAAAATGGGAAATCTGCCTTTGCTATTGAAAGCAGCAGGTTTTGCATGAGTCCTGACACTTGACAGGGCAGCGAGAGATTCGACAGCGGGGCTCTGGGTAGCAGAAGGGTTGCAGAAGTGAGGGCTCACCTGTGCACTTTCAGAACAGCAGGAGTGAAAGGAATTCCAGTCTCATTCGACAGTGGGCATCTCTGTGATGAGAAAGCTGTCTGATTAAGCAACTGGGGAGAAATGTAGATTCCCTTTATTTTTTAATCCAGTTAAGGTATCTTACATTTCCAAAAGTGCTGCTCCTACCTGAATACAGACCCTCAAAAGTATTTTGACAGGCGTTTTTGATATTTCTTTATCAAATACAAGGTTCAGGGCATCCCAGTGTGTCACACAGGGCTGTTCTGGAAGGACCGGAAGACTGGGGGTTCTGTTCACAGCTCTCCCCTGCTGGCGCCTCTGCTCTTCTGGCCTGGGGATGTCCCTTGTCTCTGCCCTGCCTTTCCTGTCCCACTGTCTTCAGGCCATGCTGTGGGACAGTCGTTTGTTAGCACAGCCTCCTCTGTCAGCATGATGGGACATCGGTTTGCACACCGTGCCCGGAGTGAAGACCTGCACCTAGGGGTCCAGCTATCTGCAGCTCCTTGGTGATTTTGCTGCAGGTCGATTGCTGGTTCACACAAGCAGCAGGAATGGCACTGTGGCACACCCTCCTTGTAAGCGTCCTTAGGGATGTGGAAACCCGTTGGATGTGCTCTCTGTGGGTCCTGACGGCTCTCTCTCCTGATGCTGTCAGAAAGAAATCGCTCAGTGAAGGGTTCAGTTATGATCAAGAGCTGATCTGGAAAGAATACCAGAAGTGGCAGGAACTTCAGGACCAGGTGTGAGGAATTTGTGAGGGCTCAAGGGGAAAACTAAAATAAACGCCTCCAGGGCGATCGCTTTTCCTCAGCTTCTGGGAGAAGAACAAATCACTTTCATAAAGAAACAATTCAAGCAAGGTAGATTCATCCCACAGGTTAGCCAGTGTGGTCAGCAGGGTTGGTCATCCATGTGTGTGGGAACGATCCGAGCTGCACGTCTGTGACTCCTGCAGGCTGTCCTGATGGCCTCTGTCCTGCTCCCCTAGTGCAGCCCGGACTACAAGCGGCTCTCCGTAGTGGTGAGAGACGCCTGGCCAGTCCCGCACATCGACCTGTGTGCTGAGGCGATCTGGTGTCCTGGGTCCTGGCCTGTCACTGATGGCCAGTGTGTGACTGGAACATGATTAGAGATCAGAGATCACTTTATTGGCCATATACAAGTTGAAGTTCAAGTTGATATTTGTCATTACAAGTAAACAATGGAACGAAATATCGTTCCTCCTCGTCCACGGTGCAAATACATGCAGGACAGACAGGACACCTACATAGACATTGTAGACAGGATACACACAGTGCAAAGTACAGATAGTACAAATAACAAGGCAATACATAATACAATATACACAACACACTGGGGGATTTAAACCCTGTTTCTGGAATTGGGTGGGTGCAAGTAGATTCCAGGGTGTTGAGGAGCCTGGCAGCCTGTGGGAAGAAGCTGTTCCAGAGTCTGGTGGAGCTGGCCCGTACACTGCGATATCTTTTCCCAGGTGGTAGGGGTAGATGGTAAGATACAAGAAATTGTATGAGGAATTTGTCTTTCATTTACTGTATATGGCGCCCCTGGAGCAGCTGGGGTTAAGGGCCTTGCTCAGGGGCCCAACAGAGTAGGATTCCTCTGCCGGCTGTGGGATACAAACTGGCAACCTTCTGGCCACAGGCGCAGATCCTGAGCCACAGAGCCACCACTCCGCCCAGTCCTGACTCAGCCCAGCCTGCAGGGTGCTGACCGGCTGGCGGCACAGAGGAGTTGTTCTCATGTGTTTACAGATGCAGCATATTAGTTCTTTCACATGATGTGTTTCGCCTTCTTGATTTTCAGTTTGACTTTCAACAGGTTAAATCACAACATCAGCTGGCGGTTAATCAAAATGCAGTGATGCCAAAAACATTAAATCAGTTTACAGTGTGCATTTATTTTTAATCAAGCATGCTCTTGCATAAATACAGTCCTGTGTGTGTTTTATATGCACAGTATATATTAATGGGTGCTTACAAAATGCTTTTTCAAATGTATTTTTGCTTCTCTCTGCAGCCGGTGCTCCTGCAGTCGATTTGAGTGAGCTCTGCACAGACACGTTCTGTAAGGTCTGTGGGGCAGTTCTGCAGTACGAATCTCAGCGCATCTCACACTACGAGGTAGGTCACGCCTGCACCACGCACTGCACTCAGCAAGACTGAACGCTCTGCCCTGCCTGACTCACCCTGAGCCCT